TTTTCCTACTCAGGAACTGAGAATTCCCAATTTTTCCTGCCCAGGAATTGAAGGAATTCTGATTTTTCCTGGAAAAAATCCCCGAATCCTGAGGAATTTTCCAGGATCCTGAGAGATCTCCCAAGGAATTGTCCAGGATTTCCTCGGGAATTTTCTGGGATCCTGAGGAATTTTTTTGGGATTTCCCACGGAATTTCCGGGATTTTGAGGCGTTTTCCAGGAGTTCCTCAGGAATTTCCCGGATCTTGAGGAATTTTCTGGGATTTCCCGAGGGATTTTTTGGGGATTTCCTAAGGAAATTTCTGGATTCTGAAGGATTTTTCTGGATCCTGAGGGAATTTCCCGGATCTTGAGGAATTTTTTGGGATTTCCCGAGGGATTTTCTGGGATTCTGAGGGATTTCCCGAGGGATTTCCCGGGATTCTGAGGGATTTTCCCCGGATCCCGAGGGATTTTCGGGATTTCCTGAGGAATTTCCCGGCTCTTGGATTTCCTGGGATCCTCGGGGGTTTTTTTTGGGATTTTCCAAGGAATTTCCAGGAATTTTCTGTTCCCTTCCAGGCGGTTCCGGGGCCATGGACGTCGAGGAGTGCAGCGCTCGCTCCTACATCACCGGTGAGCTCAGAATTCCCAAATTTCCGGGATTTCCCTGGAATTTCTGGGATTTTCCTGCATTTCCCTGAATTTCCCCCCGCTTTCCCTGGAATTTCTGCCATTTTCCCTGGAATTTCCCCCCATTTTCCCCTGGAATTTCCCCCCATTTTTCAGGAATTTCCCCTATTTTTTCCTGGAATTTCTGGGATTTCTGTCAATTTTCCTGGGATTTGCCTGGATTTTCCCTCCCATTTTCCCTGGATTTTCCCATTTTTCCAGGAATTTCTGTGAGTTTCCCAATTTTCTGGGATTTTCCTGGATTTTCCCCCATTTTTCCTGGAGTTTCTGGGATTTTCCCCACATTTTTCATGAATTTTCCTGGATTTCCCTCAAGTTTTCCCGGAGTTTCTGGGATTTCCCCTTCTGGGATTTTCCTGGATTTCCCTCATTTTTTCCTGGATTTTCCCTGGATTTCCCCNTTTCTGGGATTTTCCCCACATTTTTCATGAATTTTCCTGGATTTCCCTCAAGTTTTCCCGGAGTTTCTGGGATTTCCCCATTTTCTGGGATTTTCCTGGATTTCCCTCATTTTTTCCTGGATTTTCCCTGGATTTCCCCTGGGTTTTCAGGGATTTTCCCTGGACATTCCCCCCCCTCCATTTTTCCTGGATTTTCTGGGATTTCCATCTATTTTCCTGGATTTTTTCCTGGATTTTCCCCATTTTCCCTGGAATTTCTGGGATTTTCCCCACCTTTCCTGGATTTTCCTGGATTTCCCCCCATTTTTCCTGAAATTTCTGGGATTTTCCCAATTTTCTTCCATTTTTCATGGAATTTCTGGGATTTTCCCTGGAAATTTCCCCATTTTTCCTGGATTTCCCCCAATTTCCCCCCAATTTTCCCCATTTTTCCAATTTTTTCCCAGTTTTCCCCCATTTTTTCCCAGTTTATTCCCAGTTTATTCCCATTTTTTTGGATCCCAGGCAATCCCGAGGGACTTTGGACGTTCCATCCCCAAAATCCCGATTTTTCTGGGATTTATCCCAATTCCCACTCAGCTGCAGCAGAAATTCCAGAATTTTTCCAGCTTTTCCTGGAAAATCCCCAGGGAATTTTCCCAAGGGGGAAAATCTGGGAATTGAGGGGAAAAAATTCGGGAATCGGGGTGGAAAAATGGGAATGAAAGGGGAAAAATGGGAATTAGGGGGAAAAATTGGGAATTAGGGGGAGAAAATCAGGATTTGGGGTGGGAAAAATGGGAATTAGGGGGAAAAATTGGGAATGGGGGGAAATTGGGTTTTGGGGAGAAAAAACCAGGAATTAATGACAAAAAACTGGGAATTGGGGAGGAAAAAAGCCGGGAATTGGGGGGGAAACTGGGAATTAAGGGTGAAAAACCAGGAATTGAGGGGGAAAAAATGGGAATTTGGGGGGAAAAATGGGAATTCGGGGGTTGGAAACCGGGAATTGGGGAGAGAAAACCGGGAATTGTGGAGAAAAAACCGGGAATTGGGGAGAAAACCCGGGAATTAAGGACAAAAACCGGGAATTAAGGACAAAAACCGGGAATTGGGGAGAAAAA